AAAAAAAATGTAAACAACAACATGTTTAATTAAATTTATCATCACATTTGCAAAATTGTTGTTGCGTTTTTACGCATAACGCCAGCCGTATGGATGCGCGCGGACGTTTATCTTACGGGTCAACGACCGAGCTTTTCGAATAGGTACATAGGAATAGGTACATATTGCAGGATGGCATAAAAAGCAATGAAAATAATAAATGAATAATTGAATTATTGAACATAATTCATAAGTTTTTATAAAATATTTTCATAAAAAAATGATGTTTATCACATACTAATTGACCTACTAAAATATTGTGCTCTATTTTTGTTACACCTTATATATACTATAGTTGTAAATCTCAGTAGTAGCACGGAGTCTGGAACTGTGCTCGGTATATGACAATAGGCTCACCCCCTATTACATGGGACTCATAACATAAATAGTGAAAAGTGGGTGCTACATTGTACAGTGGCATTAAGTGCCGTAATGTGTACCTCTGGCCCTTCGGGGTTAAAGGCGTTATGATGATGATGATGATACAATGTATGCAATCCTTACCTGTTTGCTGGCAGGTAAGCAGTGTTGGAACATGTGCGAAGTAAATAGATTGGCCAGGTGGGCCAGGTTACACGGGCCCGCGCCCGTACACAGGAGGGCCTTCACTCTGCCCCGGAGGGAGGAACGAGATCCTCCTGACTGGGTCTCCTGGTACCATCTGGAAGAATAATTGTTAAACAAAGATTAAAGTCGCTTCCAAGCTCGCAATGTGTAGTTATTGGGGGAGGACTGTGGGAGGCCGTGGACGGTACGTGGCTGTACACATGATGATGAACACATTCCCAACGATCCTCAAACTCCTAATCCCCAAAAGACCGGTAACGCACTTGTAACACCTCTGGTGTTCCAGGTGTCCATGGGCGACGTCGATTGCTTACCATCAGGTGATCCGTAAGCTCGTTTACCGGCTTGTGCCATAAAAAAAAATTAATACTGTTTAACATTTTTTTTTGTATATTACTTGTTACAATCTTAACATGTAATTTTATATTTATTTTCAGAACTGAAAGAGGAATCTGTTCATGATACTGAACACAGACTGGACATCCGCATCAGAATCCGTTGTAAAGATCTAAGCATACATAGGGACAGACAGACGGCGGATAGTGTTGATAGATAGATTTGACTGCACGGTTGGTGCGGTGGCTGGGCAACCGGCTGCCGTGCAACGTGTCGAAGCTTCGATTCCCGCACGGAACAACACTTTGTGTGATCCGTAAATTGTTGTTCCGGGTCTGGGTGTCATGTGTATGTGAACTTGTATGTTTGTAAACGTACACACGACACAGGAGGAAGTCCTAGTGTGGGGCAACGTTTAAAAAAAAAATAGTGACTTATATTAATTTAATATTTTCTTTTTTGTCTCTCTCCCTTTCTTTGCTGTTAGTTTATTCTCCGTACCTTATTTTTCGCTGATTTCCTACTTAAACCCTAAGGTTGACTGGTAGAGAATGCCATATGGCATTAAGTTCGCCTTATGTGCCATAATAAAATTGTGTACATAAGAGAATAAATCCTTACTATATAATATTATAAATCGGAAAGTGAGTTTGTTTGTTTGTTTGTTCCGCTTTCACGCCGTAACTACTAAACCGATTGCTTTGAATTTTTGCAGACGTAAAGTTAGAAGTCCGGATTAAATAATAGGGTACTTTTTATCCCGGAAAAAATTGATATTCCCGAGGGAAAACAAAAGTATTGGTATAGATGGCGCTGTGTGTATTGGTGTATGTCACATAGGCTACTTTTTATCCTTTTGTGACGCGAGCGAAGCCGCGGGTAAAAGCTAGTAAATAAATAAATGTATACTATGTAGTGATAGTGATTAGGGTACAAACCTCCAAATTTCATAGAACATATCTCTCTGTTTTTTAAAAGTCTGAAAACTGAGCATCGAAGGGAAATTATCGATATTATCAGTCTCAGAGTTGAAACAAACAACGCCATTAGACTGAGACTCGCTCTGTCTCGACTTATCCTGATTGTTTTCGGCCTCACACCGGATCCCGTAGCAGTTTAGCAAGAACTTTGCCAAGTCCGGGTAAAAACTGCGGACCTTTTTGTTTTCACCTGCGAAATGAAATTAATATAATTTAGTGCGTTGCTTGGGAAAGTTTTTATAGAGGTATTATAAAAATTATATTTGATAGTGTGGTTCTTTGAAATGTGATTGCAAATTAAACAATCTCAATTTATCTAAAACCTTGTATTCATTACTGACTGCCACGTTGGCCGAGTGGTCGCAAGTGCGACTGCCGGGCAAGGGGTGTCGGGTTCGATTCCCGGGTCGGACAAAGTATTAAAAATTCTATTCTGGGTTTTTTAAAATTCTCAGTAGTAGCACGGAGGCTGGAATTGTGCCCGGTATATGGCAATAGGCTCACCCCCTATTACATGGTACTCATAACATAAATAGTGAAAAGTGGGTGTTATTTCTGTGTGCACCTCTGCTTACCCCTTCGGGAATCAAAGGCGTGATGTTATGTTATGGCTTGTATTAATTACTTAAATGAAAAAAAGTAAATCGGTAACATATACGTATTTGCTGATAAAAAAACGTTGCCGTAGGATTTTCTCCTGTGTCGTGTGTACGTTTACAAACATACAAGTTCACATACACATCACACCCAGACCCGGAACAACAATTTGTGGATCACACAAAGAGCTGCTCCGTGCGGGAATCGGACCCGCTACACGTTGCGTGGCAGCCAGTTACCCAGCCACCGCGTCAACCGATTCTCAGAATAATTTTTTGCCTGGTCAATAATTTAAATTCATAAACGACGATTCATAATCTAACAACGCTAAAGGAAACTTCAAAAAACAAATGACTACATACCTAAAGTCTTCAAAGAGCTTTTATCAAGTATAACTTCCAATATAACTCGTTGGTGCCAAAGTGATTTGACTGCAAAATACGTACTATTGTGTATAGTTTTCAACAAATACCCCATATCGTTCTCCTTCAACTTATTCTGAGCTAACACATAGTCATCCTCAAACTGCTTTGATATCAAAATGGATATCAAAAAATATATCTCGGTGTTCAAACTCAGTATAAGATTGCTCGTCATTAAAATTTCATATATTTCCACCAACAAATCAAGTTTATCTTTAAATAGAATCATTGCCACATCACTTTTGACATAACTTTGACATTTTTCTATTGAATTCTTTTGAGTAATCTTTATTTGCGGAGTCGCTATGACCTTTTGCGGAGATGAAGTGTTCAAAATGTTGAATTTTTCCATCAATTTATGCCTTTCTTGCTTCAAAAAGTTCCTTTCGGCCTCAAAACTGTTGGTTTCCTTAACTTGAATCCGTTGTTGTTTAAAAGCTGAGTTCTCTTCGACTAAAGACGGTGATGTCTGTATAGACTCTGAACTAAAACTGTTTAAGGATATACTTTTTTGTGACTTATCAATATTAGTCGGTTTGATCCTTCGCTTCTCAGACCTTAAAGAACTAGCTTTCCTCGCACCAATCTCCGGGAACATCTCCGAGTTAGTCAAATCTAACTCCGGTTTACTATCATCGCTCTCTATTGAACTTCTACCTTTCTTCTTTTTACTACTCTTTGTTACATTCACCATATAATCTCCTAAACAGCTTTTTTCCTGAGATCTTGAATGCCGGTGACTTAGTCTTGGTGTGTCACATCGTTCATGATGTTCTTTGACAAAGCTACGAGGAGTTACTGGACTGCTGAATGACAGGTTAGGGTAATCGGACGGTTTGATGCCATTTTTCATTGGTGTACTTGAAAGAATTAGCCTATCTACTCCGGTACTAAGTCTGGACTCATCAGAGGATGCGGACTGGTTTATTGACTTGTCTTCGTTGAACAGTTTAGTTTTTACCCTCCTGCCTGTTCTTTTACGGTCTTTGCTTGGAGATTCATGGCTCCGTTGCCTGTCTGTTTTAACTGAGAGACTGTCCATTGTTCGGTCTTCACTGGTAGGATCACTGATGGATCTACGGTGCTTTCGTCTCGTACTGAGGAGTTTCTCCGGAGTACTGTGTTGGAGTATTTGTACTGCATTGCTGTTTGTTTGTAAGATGCTGTAAGAAGAGAAGATTTATTGAATAGAATTTATACCTATTACCAAGTAACACGTTTACACGACAATCTTCAAATTACTAGATGAGGACCGGCACTTCCTAACAGACTATTCTGAGAAGAAACGCCGAAACAAGCTCAGTTTGCCTACTATCTCGCCAGTCGATATGGAAGACATCTGCCTATGAGCAACCTATTCACTCGGGACTTGAAGACGCCCAGGAAACATAGACTCTAACAAGCAAGGAATTTCACTCCTTTTTTGAGGGAGGAAATCATCCAATGACTTCTTCCGCTCAGGTGAAGCGAGAGGGAGTTTCAGACTTACTAACTAAAAACCACCCCGGTCTTACTCCTGCACTTCGAGCCAGAGCCCCGGCGACCGGTTAAGGCATGAGCGCTATTGGGCCCCATTTGTGGTGGTCTGATGCCTCTTTGAGGCGCGCGCGGAACGCGACGTGCTGTACGCTCGGGTCTGGTTCTAGTAGGGCGGCGAGTCACCGTGTTCGCAGTCAAAAGGCGTGCTTACGGTGGCCGGAGATCGTCTAGCGATCCGCGCGCCCAGTGTCTGTCGCGACGGCTGGGACGTGAGGAAATTCGTTACCTAACGCGCTCCAAGTCTTCCTTAGCTAGCATGACAGCTTAGCAGAAGGAGGAGACGGCATCCCAGTCCCCCTCGCTCCGTACCATAGTCTGAACTAGAGCCGGACGCGAGACATTGCCGTCGCCGAACACATCCCTGAGGACACGGTGGTGCTCAATCCACGCAGGGCACACCGCCATCGTATGCTCCACCGTGTCCTCCGGAAGACTTATTGTAGACTATTGTTCTTTACTTATATAATTTGTTTAAGTACTGTCTCGTTGGCCGAGTGGTCGCAAGTGCGACTGCCGGGCAAAGGGTCCCGGATGCGATTCCCGGATTTCAAAAAACCACAGTAAGTAGTAGCAGGGAGTCTGGAAATGTGCCCAATATATGGCAATAGGCCCACCCCCTATTACAAATGACTCATAACATACACAGTAGAAAGTGGATGTTACATTGTACAGTGGCATTAAATGCTGTAATGTGCACCTCTGACTACCCCTTCGGGGATAAAAGGCGTGATGTTATATTATGTTCTATAACAATGAACAATTATTTCATAGCTCAATGGCTACAGACAATAAAAGGTAGACTATGCCCTTTGCCAAGGTCTAATCTATCTTTGTATACAACTTGAAAAACTCAATGAACCAGTTATTAACCTTGAAAGGGTTAGACAATAGAGACAGAAATTCTCTATTAATTAATTCATACATACAGATGTGTTATTCGATGCCAATGACCTACTTTTAACCATTTTCAAACAATTGGATAAGCTTCATCAGCTTCACCCAGTCTGAACTCTGAACTGATAATCCAACCCATGATCTCGTACTTAGCAGTCATGCTAACAACCACAGCCCATTGTTGATAAATAAATACCATGGTAATTTAACCTTTTTTGTGCCTATATTAGCAAACCATATTGTTATAAAAATACCATGTTTAAAAGAAATGTATGTATTATTTAATTCATAAATAACCTTTATAGAGGTTGTAGCATGTCAATGAACTTAAAATTATCGACCTACTGCCCCAAAAATACTGGATTCTTTTGTTGCAAAATCTAATGTTTACAAAATTTCAAAGTCACTTACCTATCAGTTTGAGTCCTCAAAAACGATAAAAAACACGTCACAAAATCATTCTTGTTACAACAATTCAATATACAGTCCTCAGATATGTCCTGAAAACAGAAATAACATGAAAATATTGCAAAAATATGCTACGATTTTCACATCGTTTTAGGTTATGATTTTACCTCTAAAGATTCGTCGTTTAACCACTTTATTAATAACTTCGAGTCTAGTTTTCCTGTAAGGACACTTTCTATTATTGTTTCAGGCATTTTGATGTTTTAACATAAAATTAAAACGATTTTTCAAGAAAATATTGATTTTTGGCAGCTGCGCGCTCAAACTTCAACAAAGGTGCCATATTTCTATTGTTGCCATAGTAAATATTTGCGTACGTCAAACTAGGGATGCACTATAGGCATAGACTAATAGTAACACTTAATGAAACTGAGAATAATAGTAGCCAAAACTAAAGATCACTTTTAACATGACACGTTTTCATTGATGGGTTATTGAGCTTTTTCATAAAGGTAATAAAATATGAGACTAAAAAAAATTTGGATTATCATTGTAAATGATGATTGATGATGTTAGTGCAACTTTCCAAACTTTCAAACAGTCCAACACTAGAACTGTCAAATGTGTTCGATACGCAACCATGGGCAAGAAACTCATCGAAATTTCGAATTTCTATCAAAACTCACAATTCACTTTACAAACTTCATACAAAAATAAGATAAAAATTCGAGTTACGTGGTAACTGAGAAAACGTAGTAGTAGTTTCCTTTCTATTGTTAATATTTGCGGTGCTGAAAATGTACTTTGTTAATAATTTTTTAACGCAAACTAAATAAATATGAATTAAATATTGCTGACAAAATGTCTGTGATATGGAATACTAGTGGCCTATGTCGTTGCTGCCATGCTGAGGGCGATTTCAAGAGTTTAAATGAATATTCAAACGAGATATCTGGAGATGATTGTTATGTTTTGTTAAAAGACACGTTTGATATTATTGTGAGTAAATTATCTGTTGCTATTTATTCCTTGCGAATTAAAAATTAACCACCTTGTATGAAAATCTGATAAGAATTTGCAAGTGAAAAGATTAATAAACATATTTTCACTTACTAATGTTATCTCTATCTTTTGAATGAAATAAAAGATATAGGTACATAGAATATCTATCGATCTATTGATATACCCCTATAGTACAGAGGAACATTTCCTATAAAAAAAATTAAAGAACAAACAATATCTACCTACTGCCTTTATAAATATACTAGCATTCTACACTTTTAATATTCATATCATTGACACTTGCTTCTTTAAATATATTCCTTAATTCTTAAGTAAGTATATGCCTGTTAGTCATGGTGCCTCGGATGTTTAAGACAACCATTTCTCATGCATGAGGGTCCGAATTCGATACAGCAAATACCAATGTGACTTTTCCTCAGTTATTTATGTACTTTCTACAGTTATTTAGACACCACTTATATACGGTGAAGGAAAACATCGTAAGGAAACTTGGGCTTACAATTTTAATTTATTAGTTTGAAATCACCTACCCACATTGAGCAAGTGTGGTGATTAATGCTCTAACCTTCTAAACATTGTGAGGAAACCTGTGCTTACAATTTTAATTTATAAGTTTGAAATCGCCAACCTACATTGAGCAAGTGTGGTGATTAATGCTCAAACCTTCTCCGTGTGAGAATAGGCCTTTGGTCAACAGTGGCCACTTATAGGCTGTTAATATATAAATGTCTAACTTTAAAAAGTACTGTGGTCTAATTTAATATGTTGATATATTGTACCAAATATTTGTTCATACAAAAGTAGTCTCTGAACATCGGCAATAAGGTCTATAATGGGGTTAGTGGACAGCGGTCACCGGTGACTGCTCTTCATTAATTCCCTTTAAACTGTCAGACACCAAGCGATCACCGGTGACCGCAACCTATTGTTCTATAATTGTGTCTACAAAACCGGTACTCGACGAGTTAACAACTTTCAATACCCAAAACAACTAATTTAGTAATCATTCTACTTTGGAACACAGCTTCACCCCGTACCAAACTCCACAATCCTGGTGTGCGGTGTCTGTGGTCCGCGGCTGAAGGATGCCGTGCAGTTCAAGAAGCAGGTGCTACAGTGTGAAGACAAGCTAAGGCAGTATGGGTTTAAAGGTATATATTATTATTTTTGAGCTGCCTCATTCACCAAGTGATCTCAAGGTCTCGGGTTCGATTTCTGGATCGGGCAAAGTATAGCTGGATTTCAAAAAAAAATTCAGTAGGAGCATATAGTCTGGAATATTGCGCGGTATATGGCAATAGGCTCACCCCATATTACATGGGACTCATAACATAAATAGTGAAAAGTGGGTGTTTACTTTTTACATTACTTACTAAATTAATTATCACATACAGGGCATTCATGTAATTTCCACTACATAGTTGTGCTTGCGATTCTATTCGATTGCAGACCAGTGAAATTAGAAAATAACGTACATACATAACATCATGCCTTTTATCCCCGAAGGGGTAGGCAGAGGTGTACATTATGCCACTGTACAATGTAACACCCACTTTTCACTATTTATGTTATGAGTCCCATGTAATAGGGGGTGAGCCTATTGCCATATACCGGGCACAATTCCAGACTCCGTGCTACTACTCGGAATTTTTTGAAAAACCCAATAATACTTTGCCCGACCCGGGAATCGAACCCGAGACCCCTTGCCCGCCAGTCTTGCCCGCACTTGCGACCACTCGGCCAATGAGGCAGTCAATTAGAAAATAATTACATTAAAATTAATAATTTATTGTTTTCAATTACAGAGGCTGATATTTTGCAGAAAGATATAAAAGATGAATTTGTACAAGATGGTGAGTCATTTATTTATTTATTAACTAGCTTCTGCCATCGGCTTCCTTCACTTTCCCAGGGGTAAAAAGTAGACTATGTGTTACTCCCGACCATAAACTTCAAGTGTGGGAGAGCCATGCTTCGGTACTGTTGGGCCGGCTCGACCGGAGTGATACCACGGCCGAGCAGAAAACCGACGTGAAGCAACGCTTGCGTTGTGTTTCGTCGTGTGAGTGAGGTTACCGGAGGCACAATTACCCTCTTCCCCAGTCTCCCCAATCCCCGAATCCCCCACAATCCTCATACTCCTAATCCCCAAAAGGCCGTTAACGTACTTGTAATGCCTCTGGTGTTTCGGGTGTCCATGGGCGACGCTGATTGCTTACCATCAGGTGATCTTTCTGCCGGTTTACCGGCTTATACCATAAAAAAGAAAATAATCTACCTCAGCTCCAAATTTCATCCCGGTCCCTTCAGCCGTTTTGATGTGACTGAGTAACAAACATACAGACAAACTCACATATTTCCACATTTATAATATCGGTTCAAGCCAATTTCAACCATCGGTCCTACAGTTACAGCGTAAAGTCCACTGCGGGCAATCTAACATTCGACAAACTTATATTTGCGTTTGGAAAGCCATGCTTCGGCAGGAATGGGCCGGCTCGACCGGAGTGATACCACCAACGAGCAGAAAACTGACGTGAAGCAACGCTTGCGTTGTGTTTCGTCGTGTGAGTCAGGTTACCGGAGGCCTAATTACCCTCCCCTTCCCCAATCTCCCCAATTCCTGAATCCCTAACGATCCTCATACTCCTAATCCCCAAAAGGCCGGTAACGCACTAGTAACACCTCTGGTGTTCCAGGTGTCTATAGGCGACGTCGATTGCTTACCATCAGGTGATCCGTCTGCCCATTTACCGGCTTATGCCATAAAAAAAAATACTGTTTAACATTTTTTTGTGTATTACTTGTTACAATCTTAACATGTAATTTAATATTTATTTTCAGAACTGAAAGAGGAATCTGTTCATGATACTGAAGACAGACTGGACATCAAATATGACGGTAAGACACACGAGATAACATGACCTTTTAATCCTTAAAGGGGTAGACAGCAGTACAGTATTTATCTTAAGTCGGAGCCCGTTCCGGAGGCCGTCATCCTCAGGGGGCCCCGAAGTACCGCCCATTTCTACGATGGACACACGCTACACGTGGCGCGTCAACCGTCTGCCCTGCAACAAGTCAGTCTGTCAGTCCTCTAGTGAAGCTATTTGCTTGTTCCCAAGGTGTAGATTCCTATGGAGAAGAACGAGCAAGACATACAGAAGAGCTCCATAAGCTGGGTACTCACTTAGCAATGTAGCACGTAAGGTATCAGATACGGTATCAACCTGCAAGTGGGTACGGTCCTCCGCGTATCTAGCTATGAGCTGCCGGATCAGCAATACTCACAACGACGTCACGCCGAAATGTCAAGCATCCACTTTTAGATTTTTGTAATAATTCTTATTTTGAGGGTCCCACAGTACTGGAGTATTTTGATAAACCTCAATTAGATTGAACATTTTTTCTTCAGTCCCCTCCATTATGAATGATTGAATACGTAAAGTTCGTTTGAAGCTCGCGCGCGTACGTACTCACTATACAAACGGTCGTGACACCGTCCACGACACTGGAGCACACTGCGAGCCGTCTTTATGTTCGAAGTGAGACCGCCACTCGGCGGGACCCTGCGAGCTTACGAGCGGCTCCCAGCGGGCTCGTGCTCGCTTGATACCGTATCTGCAGCTGTAGCCAAATGCCACTTAGCGCTTGTCTGCATGTAGAATAGAAAACCAAATTATGTGGGATTGACGTAAATTTTGACACTTGTCAGTGTCATCCCCTTACATTTAGTTTTCTACTCTCTCTGTAGACAAGCGCTAAAGTGGCGTTTGGCTAAAGGCACAGATACATTACGTGCTAGGTACACTATGCGAGTACCCAGCTATAGGTTACTCTCTTAATAATATAATCAAAGGTGGTTTTGCCAGCCACTTGAGAGCCCATGATAGACGTTAGTAATCATGAAACGGTCGCCGTAACCAAAATCGGCATGCAAGGATTATATTTATACTAATTTTCCAAACTGCCTCGTGGCCGAGCGGTCGCAAGTGCGACTGCCGGGCAAGGGGTCTTCGGTTCGATTCCCGGGTCGTGCGAACTATTTCTGGATTATTTTTCTTTAAATCTCAGTAGTAGTCCGGAATCTGGAATTGTGCCCAGTATATGGCAATAGGCTCACCCTCTATTACATGGGAATCATAACATAAATAGTGAAAAGCGAGTGTTACATTGTACAGTGGCATGAAGTACCGTAATGTGCACCTCTGTCTATCCCTTCGGGGATAAAAGGTGTTATGTTATAATATTTTCCAAACAACTGAAGAATACTCCATAATTCTTTATCCGACTCGCGAATCAACTGGGGTCGTTGGTAAG